TTATATGACAGCACGCAAAGATTTAAGCAGCAGAGTAAAGGCCGATTGAGCGATCGAAACTTCACCTTTTTTGGGTTTGTGACGTAGTGTGTGATTGTGTTATGCGTAAGATGCTAACCGTGATCAACTTTCAATGTTAACATTGATACTTTCAATCTACTGTCTCAAATATAAAAGCTTACATTAAGTTGACATTCTCATCATCGGCTTGTCTTTCTCGTTCTCGTGCCTCATCATTGTTCCCCGCTGAAAATACGGCTATAACTTGAGATCTAACTTTTTAACTCCTGATCACCATTTTCAGGCCGATTGTTCTCAACAGTTGCGGTTCCTGCTGCAGCCTGTCGACCTTGCTCTGCTGGTTGTTCTCGTACTAGCTGAGGTCTGTTTGGCTCTCCTTCTAGTGGTGTAGCTGGTTGTGTGTTGAGTGGAGGCATTTCTTCTGGTAGTTGGACAATCGGCTGAGCTTGGGCAGGTGCTGCTGGTGTACTTAGAGGGACTTCTTGGAAAAGGACGCTGGAATAGCTCAAGTTTTCCCCAAATACACTTAGAATTCTAAATCTTTCACTTACGACTGGTGTGGAGGTAGAACGGAGTGTGTTTGTGCACTATTGCGGCTTGGTAGAGGCACTTGCTGCATACCTTGAGTTGTCCCCCGCCCCACTTCGGGCACTTCTGGCCCAGCGGACGCTTGACTTGAACCAAAAGAAGTAGGAACTGCTTCATTTTGAATATTGTTTGTTTGTGTGGGAATGTTTGACGAGACGGCACGACTAGCAGCCAAGTTTTCTGGCACTACAGTTCGCCGCGGTGGTGGAGGTGGATGTTCTACACTTTCCCGTGGATGAGGAGGAATTGCTGCAGCTGGTATAGGAGCAGGTGCAGTAGAAGGCGCTTGTGGAGCAGGATCAGGAGGAGCTTCAGCAGGTACCACGACAGTGAGAGGAGCTGAAACAGCACCAGGTGCTGGAAGTGAGATCAGCACAGGAAGGGCAGTATTTGGCTCTTCGACGACGGTAGGAACGCTGGGCCTTAAGTAGCCAAATCACAGACGTTTTAGTTGATTGCTGAGACTCGCCGAAAAAAGCTCACCGACGACGTAACCTTTCACGTCGAACTGGAGGAGGTGG